GAACTGTTAACAGAACTATTCCAAAAACTATATTTCAGATTCTACTGACGGTTTATTACATGTGAATATAGCATGACAAAATACTTAAAAGTCCCACAATTAGTTTCGGAACAGAATGCCTAAATGGATAATTATAAGTGCACTTACTTTTGGTTTTTTTTAAACAAACTCATTGTGATACCAATTGCTTTACATTGATGCCCATTCGTGACACAAAATCGCGGTTTTCCTTTGACATCGGATTCGAAGCTATCTGACTTTCTAGAACTTTCAACAAAGAGCGAGATCGGACATAAACGGAAAGGATTTGCAGATTTCGTTTTTTAATCAATTATAAGAGCTTATTTCTTTTATATTACTTAAATCAAGTTTTGATTGAATAATTCATTTACTGGACCCTTTTATGAAATAAATAAGCGCTTGCTTGTTGTCAGTGTTATTATAAAATACCAGTAACGTAGATCCGCAAACCGGAACCACCCAGGCACGTAGCATCGTTTTTGAAAGTGGGGGGGGGGGGGGGCAACCAGAGAATTTTTTTTTTTACTTACCTGAAAAAGTTGACAAGCAAAAAAAAAAAAAGACGGGGGGAATAGCCCAAACTTGAAAATCCTATTTCGTAGTGGGGAGGGGGGGGGGTAGTGGCTAACTTTTTTTCAAGGCCAACTTCCTTTCACTTACAATTTTTTCCATACAATATTATATATCATTGATATCATTATACTATGGTAAGAAGTGGGGGGGGGGGGGGCAACCAACCTTTCAATAAACATTTTCAATAGTAAAGGTAATGTTGGGGGAAAAAAGTGGAGGGGGGCAGGCCCCCACTGCACCACCCCCCCCCTGTTGCTACGTCCCTGCCACCACTTTACTCTCTTTTATGCCATTGTTTTGGCTTTTAAAGAAAATAAAAGTAGACTTTTAATCAAATATACGATAATAACTCTGCGAGTAAAATCTGAATATAGTTTACGGACTTTACCTAATACCTATTGTATTCCTAAAGGCTTAAATAAGAACTCTTGTGCTGCTGTTTCAGAGTTTATTTGCAAAAAGTGATAATTTATAAATATAGTTATGATAAACGTATGTGGTTAAAGGTAAAGACACCATCAGAAAAAAGAACTTTTGTTTAATACCAGTATTAGGAAGAAGGGAAGTTTTATTGGGGAATAATTTAGGGAAAAATAATTATATCAAAAGTTAAACCATCTGAAAAGTATCGAAGAACGACAACCGGAATGAACAGGCTATTAAAGAGCGAAAAAAGAGAAGTTTAACGACGCAGTAGAATCTATATCTGATGGATAGTGAAAATAGTTGACAATTCCTTAAGCGAGATGGAGAAAAAAAGAATAAAATACCAGCAGTTAAAAGCAATTTACTTTTATTCAAAGAATATAACAACATACAAAAGAACATAAAATTTTTACAACAATGTCTGAAGAAGGACAAGTGTTTACTTTTGACTAACAGGTTGAATGGAAGATACTCAACTGGAAGTGAATCCATGGACTTAAGTCAATGAACTTATTTTACATGTGTAGACAAATATCAATTGCAAAAACATCAAATGAAATGGAGAATTAGAATATTCAAAGTAATTCATTATTCCTTCAATATTTATTTATTAATTGTATGGTGTTTAACGTCCCTCTCGAGAATTTTTCACTCATATGGAGACGCACCAATATACTCGAAACTCTGGGCCTTGAGCAGTAAGGGATCTTTTTCGTACCAGCACTTACTGCGACATGGGACCTTGGTTTAACGGTCTCATCCGGAGGACTGGTCTCCACGTCCAACAGTGGGTTTCGAACCCCCGACGTAAAGATCAACTCCATGCTTCGCTAGGGCCAAAACACCTAAAATTAGTGCAATCTTTATAAATCTTCTTCTTTACTCTTGGATATCAAGCAGTCAAACTGTTGGTATGATAACTATGATTGTAATCAGCATTGAGTCCTCTACCAAAATTGTAAAATTCATGGCCTCAGGGTCAGAAGTTCTAGTTCTAGGACGGGGCTAAATAGATTATACAGTGAAAATGCATTAATTTTTTAAAACTCTTCTTTTCTGCTTTTGTGCAATGAATAAATTAACCAAGTGCATAGTTATGGTGAATCAGGCTGCCTCTTCCAAAATTGTGAATTTCATGGCCCCAGGGTCAGGGGTTCTGGTGCTAAAGCGGGACTGTATAGGTTATATAGTAAAAATGCATAAATTCTTTGAGATTCTTCTTCTCTGCTCACGAGCATTAAATAAACTACCCATGAAGTTGAACTTTGTTTAAAAAAACTAAGGTAAATTATTTGATTTGGAACAAATTTAGTCTATAATAAATGATTTTAATTGTAGCCATGAATAACATTGGTAAAGAATGAGGAAAAACCGTATAAGAGCAGATGATTTGATTGTGGCCACAGAAAAAGAATAATTAACAGTGATCAAAGTACCGTACACAGAAAACACTTTTCAAAACAGGTGCACAACGGTTTGTGTCACTCGAGATTTCTATGAAGCAGCTGAAGAACACGCTGTTTTTATTATTAAATGGCAAAATTTCTTAAATTACAATAAAAGTGCTGTTTTCATAATATATTATAGAACGCTCTAAACTCTGGAGAGAGCGAAAAAAAACCTTAGGAATACAGGGCGTACTTACAAATAAAAAGGGAGCGGTATAACAAGAGAAAGGAAATAGGTGAAATCAAAAGTATCCAGGAGCTTTCTGCACGAGAGCAAAGAAAACAAAGAAAATCATGGAGAGTGAATCAGAAAAATAAGAGAGAAGAAAATAAAGTCTTACTAAGCGATGTCTAAATGTAATTACACCGCCTATTTAAAAAAATTAAATAAAGGAAATGATCATGCATATGCATCAAGACAAAACAACATGGGTAGAAAAAAAGGTACGCAGAGATAGGGCTAGAGATTACAGGGAGATAGAGAAAATAAAAGTAAAACTGAATTCTATAGAAAAAGAGAGCCGATAAATACAGGAAACGACTGTAAAGAATAAATAAAAAGCAGATTTTTAAAAACATTGATTCTCTTCGTTCCAAAACTGAAAGCCTTTTGAAGAATCAAATAGTAAGTGAAGACGTTAGGAAGACATTTGTTTTACACCACACTATGATTAAAAGTACAACAGAAAAATATAAGAACATTAAAAGCCAGAGGCATTGCCAGTTCGTTCCATTATTTGTATCTGGTATTCTTTTTTGAGTTTACAAAAAATTAATGGAACAATTCCAAATCATCGTCACCAAAATGATTTGAGATATTCGGGCTTTTTTCATAACAATAGGAAAAAAAATTATTACTGAAACTAGATATTTGAAAGTAACATCCTATTCTTTTAAATACACGTCTTTGGATTTCAATTTTTTTTTAAATCAGAGCAAGTAAACTTTAATCTTTTTTTGTTTTTCTACTAAAATTTAGAAGCAGAATGTTTTAAGTGAAGATTTTATTGAAGTATGAAGTTTGTTGCGGTAATGACTTCTTGTTTCGCTCTGACTGGCAAAATGCAACTTGTCTGGGAAATGAAGAAAGCATTTACGATGCCATATGCAGATATTGTTTTCTATAGCTAATACTTATTATAACACATTTACTGAAAAATATCGACGAAAATTGAACGTGGAATTTCTGAATATAGATATCCCAAAATCCCTTCTAGTTAAAAAATTACCCATAAATTCTTTAAAAAGGCTACTCAACAGAGTTTTTTTTTTTAATTCTCAAATTCAAGACTTGAACAGTACATGTATACAAATAAAACTTCTGTATTTACACATCTTTTAGTAAAAATAACAACTTTCTTTTACGAGGGCTGTTCGGAAATTATTGAGACATTTACTTTTACTCCATAAAGGACAGAGATAAATTCAGGAAAATTCATCAACCTTTAGCGAAGAACAAATTAAACAGTTATACAAAATTTCTAATGTCTAGGATAATTATATAATTTCTGGTGAAATCATAAACATGCATATGTCTATCGACCCGGAGCAGCATCAGTACGTCATTTTAACGTCATGTTAGCCGGAGATGTTTTCGCATATGAACCGATCGGGAAGCTTTTACTCTCCTTCCTTTGTTATCATACATACCATACAGTAATCAAACTGTCTATTTTCTTAAGCAATTCTTTAAACAAATGTGCTGTTGCTACACTTGTGTAAATTTTTCATGCGTCTTATATACAGGATGATTTAGTATCATGCAGTACCGATTTATGCAAAGGGGTGAACGTTTAATTCCGTGGCGGTAAAAATTGGCGATTGTTCAGAGCGTTTGATTATACTTTGGTTGAATTATAGGTTAGAAAAACCAACATATATATATGAAATAACGAACCCTTCGACAAGTTTTTCCCGTTGTTAATGTTTTAGCAGTTTTTTTTTCAGTATGGAAAAGGGTTTTACATAGCGCTAAACAAAATTTTAGGTCTCTCGCTGCTCCGCCTTGACGTCAAAATCCATTTGTGGTCGTAATCAGATGTCTGTACTGCGCTTAATTTTTTCAATGATCTCCATATTTCTGATCAGAATTCTAACAAACTTGCTCAACATGAAGTTAAAATAAAATTGAAAAATTATGCACATGAATTGAATTATTCTCGCTCTTATTATGGGTCCACCAAGGGATTGAACGTTGGTGATACATATTTTCAATATCTGTTTTCGTGACTGCTCCGGGTACCCCTACCATTGACATATCTTAATACCAATGAAGATAAGAAATGTAATATTTGTAAATTATATCTTGCTTTTATAAATTCTTAATGTTTGTCAAACGTATATGCAAAGTTTCACAGAAAGACGTTCATTAGAAAGAAAAATATACACACTGTCTCAATAATTTCCGAACAGCCCTCGTATTTAGTGAAAAATCCTTTCCTTTTACTTCTTTATATCAATTTATGGAAATGCATGTATATGTAGAATTTCACATATGAATATATTATTATAGGGAAAAATACAGTGATCTTAAAAAATAAAATTCTCATCACAAACCATTTGCATAATTATAGCTCATATTACATGTTCATATACTTACTGTTAAGAATAATAAACGTAAAAAGCAGATTGTTTTTCTCCATTTGCAGTGAAATATAGAAAACAGTTTCAATGAATAATTTTACAAACATTTATAAGCTTTTTCCCCATTTAAGCGACTCAAGCACCTTCGCTTTCCCTTGGACACCTCCAAAAAGTAGTTAGATTTTACAGTAGTGGTTTTACGGCGAAATAGGTGCCATTATGACGAATGCAGCAAACAGGAAAACCCAGGTTCCTTGGATAGCTAAGGCTCTACTACCTAATAGATATACTTAAAATCAGTCTCAGTAACTACATTTATTTAGCCTTTTTTAAATTCATAAATAAACGCGTTTTGAATTTAACAGATACTAAAAATACTTTTTATGTATAATGAGGATGACATTTGAAAGCCAATGTCCACTGTAATAGTTTCTTTGTAAGATTAATATTTGTTACTTTCCTGTATTTTCCTTATATGTAAGACTCTACCGAGCATCTAAAAAAGCTGAATACGACTCGTAAATAGGCACACACCCATTTTCGATACGATATTACTATCTAACATACCAGCACTGAGGTATACCCTTTGCATTCATTACACTTGACTGCTTTATGTTCATGGTTATCCGCATGGAATAGCAATTTGTGTTCGTGCTGGCTATCTACATTACCTTTGTCAACATTTAATTGCAGTTAGGAGTATTTGTGTTCGTTTGTTTGTTTACTGCATTGGCCCGAGCATCTGTTTGTTATCTTTGCTGCTTGGCATCTTACTCTCCTGGATTAGAAATACAAAGTTATTATTTATAGCTTCCGAGTGCAGCATAGCATATATCCGTCTACACCGGTGACGACCGATTCACAGGTACTTGTGCCCAGGGCTTGTTGCACTTATTTTCACAAATTATATTTAATAACTTATTCATCATGTAAGCTACAGAAAAAATGGTCAAAAACTGTAAAATAATCGTTCCATAAAAATACCCAACTATTCATTATAGGAGAGAGAGGTATGACACACCAGTTTGTTAACGTTGTACGCCCACTAGTCTTCTCGTGGACTAATTACACTGAACAGTGATTAAGTGGGTAGCTGAATATAGGGACCCTCAGATATAGCGAAAGAACGATCGTATATAGCGGAGAAATACCTTTTTACGAATCGTGTCCAACTTTAAGTTGTCGTTATTCGCGCATTTTGTAAATTGTATCACTCATTATTCCTATTACCTTTGGAAGTATCTCTTCCACACTTTGACTCAAATTGCGGGACATATCCCGCAGCTGTATTGTACATTATGTCTCCTTCACAAGCACTCTTCTGGCTCTCAAAACAGGGCTGCACCGCACGGAAACTCTCGCTGGGAAAATGAAAATGTTGTATAAAGCAATATAACTTAAATAATATCCTGAAATTTTACATGAAAATGATTAATTAATAATAAATCAATGTATACCTACTGAATATTATCATTTTAACGAAAGGCATCTTTAGTTTTAATTAAATTCAAAATTGAAAGTGAGATCTAAGATTTAATATCTCGATGCAAAGTGCAGAGTACAATAAAGGAGTAAGCATCTCCTGTAAGTTAAACCAAATTTTTGTAACATGAGTATAAAAGAGGCTTTTAAGACGTTTTAATAGGGCTGCAATATGTGTATTCTGAAAGAATTCAGTTGATTAAGTTTACAACATTTCAGTCAGAAGATAGAGTTTGAACAGGATTTTGACTCAACAAGTTTGCCACAAGCGTGGTTGCTACTCGCAGAAAAAGTGTATCTATAGTTTGTAGTGAATGTATGAAAAAAAAAAATTGAGCTCCATGCTGAGGTGCTGCTGCTGATTTTTATCATGGATACTCATCTTAAATCTTAAACGATAAAAAAAACAATGCAAAAAATTAAGAATCTTTTGAAACGCCATAAAACTACATCAAGTTTAACAGAGAAAGAGGAAGACTTCTTAACGGATTATGAATACAGTGAAAGCAATTTTTATAGACTACCAAAGATTCATAAATCTAGACAAATAAAAGAGGCTATCAAATCCCAGTGCTCGGAATACATAATCTGTCCCTATCCAGAAGATCTCACATTTCGACCAATAGTAGGTGGGCCATCGGCACCAACACAGAGACTTAGTCACCTACTAGACATTCTTCTAAAACCGTTATGTTCTGGAGTCAAAAGTTATGTACGAGATGACTTTGATTTTCTACGTCATTTACCCGAGAAAGTGGAAAATAACAGTAAACTCGTTACACTGGATGTAATAAACTTGTACAGCAATATATCAAGTTCCCTAGGACTAGAAGCCGTGGATTACTGGATAAGTAAAAATCCCGAAAAAATTAACGGCAGATTTACAAAGGATTTTATACCAGAAGCAACAGAAATAGTACTATCAAATAATACATTCACGTTTAATGGAAAACATTTTAAACAAATGAAAGGAACGGCTATGGGTACAAAAATGGCCCCTACATATGCCACATTAACATTAGGATATTTAGAAGAAAAAAATGTATAAGAAAGTGGAAGAGCAGTTCAACGAAGAGGTGAAACTTTATATTATTAACAACTGGAAAAGATATCTGGACGACTGTTTTATTGTTTGGAAATACAGAGACAACGAATTGTCTACCTTTAAAACATTACTGAATGAACTTAATCCTGATATAACATTTACAGCGGAGGAAAGTACAGATAGAATTCCATTTCTGGATATCATGGTTATTAAGGAAAACGATGTCATTTTGACAGATATCTATTACAAGCCAACAGACACGCATCAGTATCTTCATTTTAATTCGTGCCATCCACGGCATACGAAAAGAGCCATCCCTTATAATTTAGCAAGGAGAATATGCACCATCGTAAATAAGGAAACAACCAAAATACAAAGACGACAAGAACTGAAAGAGTATCTACGGAAACAAAGTTATCCCGAAAAAATTATTGATAATGCTATTAAAAAAGCCATGGATTTAGACAGAGAGGACCTCCTCAACCCTGTGCAACAAAACAAGACGGATTCCAGGATCTTGCCTTTAGTAACGACCCATATTCCCCAGAATACAAACGTTGCACCGATTGTTTACCAACTCAACGACGTTTTGAAAACCGACGAAACTATGTCTAAAATATTTAAAAATCGGAAATTCACAAACAGTAGGAGGCAGCCGAAGAACCTCAGACGAATTCTCACAAAGTCCTCTTTTAAAGAAACGACAGAATTTCATGTGACCAAGTGCCAGGATCCGCGTTGTGGTACCTGCCCATACATACGACAAGGACAAAGTTTCAACTTTAACGGGAAACAGTTTACTGTTAATAATGACATGTCATGTCAAACTAGAAATGTTATATACGTTATAACATGTTCCGGTTGCGGGGAACTATATATCGGTGAGACGGGAAGTACCTTACGGGAAAGGACCAGAGTACACAAACAACAAATAAACGTACCGCAATATCGCAAACTCAAAGTCAGTGAACACTTAGACGTGTGCGGAAATAGAACTTTTACTGTCTTTCCATTTTATAAACTGCACAACTCTAAAACAATCGAAAGACGAAAAAGAAAGACATTTTATAAGGACTTTAAACCTAAAATAAATAGTTTAATGTAAAAGAAATGTTTCTTTACATGTAAATTATGTTACTGAGTCACATTCATTGCTTTGTTATTGTATGCTTTGTTAATGCATTGTTCTGTGAAAGTACGGGAAAAATATGACGTCAATCAAAGACTTGTTAACGTTAAGTTATTATGACGTCACAATAGACGTTACCATGAGTATTGTAAAACATCATGAAGAAGAAATAAAAGCGCTTATGTTTTAAGAAATGAATGTAATAATTTTTTCTTTGATCGATGTATCAAAGAAAAATTTGGACGGAAAACTTCATCAATGCGCGTAGCGCATTGATGAAAATGTTTTCCGTCCAAATTTTTCTTTAATACATCGATCAAAGAAAAAATTATTACATTCATTTCTTATCATTTAATTAAGATTTTAAATTAATAAAATGAAAATTTCTTTCACTTTCCTATTAAATTTATGCATCAAAAACAGTGCGCACGAATACATCACCATAACGTTAACGTTGCTGAAAATTCAAAATGGCTCTAACCATGCTAACGAAAAACCTTCTCAAATATTGTTCTGTGATTACCAACAGTCTCCAAAATAATTTGTGACACGATAGCGGTGTTTTTCTTTGAAGTTTACTGTTCTGTATTAGCAATACAGAACAGGACTGTGGTGGGCGGAGCTACTTTCCGTTCTGTATTAGCCCTGTATACAGCATTGTATTTGCCAACTATTCTGTATCTAAAATACAGCACGGTCTAAAAATAAATCTGATTCAACTTAGCAAAAACACGTACAAATAGTAAATGCTGATGTTTTCCAATTATAAATTTTGGAGAAATACCCGGTATTTTCCTGAGAATGTAAAATGTCAAAATTTCTCAATCACTTTTTAAAAACTTATTCCACACAGAATCTAAACGTAATTTCGATCCAAAGTAAAATGAAAATTCGCAATAACGGAAAACATCCTCTGTACGTAATTTCGCTCCAAACGAAACGGAAAATTCGCAATAACGGAAAACATCCACTCTCCTCGTGCAAAATCATTCAAGTCCAATTTTTCCGCGTTTTTATTTTTTAAAACCCTTCTCGCTGACGACAGCCACACGTCTCTTAATGTCGCAATTCAATTTGAAAATAAAAATCCGTGACATCCAAGTCCATCGAAGAATTTTCTGTAAATCCTGTTTTTGTTAATCTAGATAAACCGGGATTTTAAGACCCCTCAGTGAAATAAATTTATGATAAATCTCCATCTTCAATTTAATAGATCACAACAATGACGGTTAAATCCTCCACCTTATCCATTAAGACTGACTATCACTCGATTACGTCTACCCCGTTAAATTGTCAAAACTAATCTGACCGAATTTTACGTTTTCCGTGGAAATATATATACTGCGGATGCGCACTCCCCGTCGGGGCATCATCTACAGAACTCTGGCGGAAGTTTGGATGCTGCAAAGTTATAAAGTGGGCGGAGCTATTTTTGATTGATCGTGTCACAAATCATTTAGAGAACTCGACAGGTTCTGTATCGTAGATACAAATTTGGGGGTGGAGACTCGTGCTCGCGCACTCGTCTCCACCCCCAAATTTGTATCTACGATACAGAACCCGTCTCGTTCTCTAAATAATACTTACAGTTCTTTAACACAAAAAACTAACCTGTTGTGTTATCCCTCTGTGTATATTTTCCCCGGTAAGTTATCTAAGTTCGTAAATGTAAAGGGAAGCTACTCAAATATCCCAATAGTTCTAGGTCACAGAAATTTTGGATTTCATTTGCGCATCTTTTCATTTGAATTTCAAACGGAATATAATTATATACATATCACAACCTGTCAATGCTGTAAAACCTGAAAGAGTCTGCTGCCGATAGTTCAAGATTAAAGAATTCCATCCTCAATTCATGCAGTGTCGTTTTCCTCGATCACTCGTTTCCCACGATTTAACAGATTTTCGGTTTTCCCCGCTTTGGTAGCATAATAAAACTTTTTTTCAGAGTTCTATTGTTTCATACCAGATATCTCAAAGTGAAACATTTAAGAAAAGTATGCCGATTATACGATTTCTTCCCTTCTTTCCCGTAACTGTATTGTCGCCATGCAGACGAATTTAATTTGTTTAGCAAAGGGGGATAATTCAAAATGAAACGAAAGTAGAAAATAAGCCAGGAACCTAACGGACAGGATCCGAAATTCAGGAAAATATTTATTAAAGCAAAGGTATTTGATTATTCCTTCAAAAAGTAACCTGGAAGCGGGGAATATACATGTACCGACTGTCAAAGTAGTTCCAGCTGCTTAGTGCAACCGAACTCTAGATTTTATTGATGCAGTTATCAAAAGAATTTTTTATCCAATCAGAATCAAGTATTTTATAGAAATTAAATGATTTACTCGTTCTCTGTGTTTTTATTTATTTAAAATAATTTTCATATATATATATATATATATATATATATATATATATATATATATATATATATATATATATATATATATATATATATATATATATATATATATTCAAAAAATTATTTTTCCTTGGTATAGGGATGAAATAAAATCCAAATTCAAATGATAAACTCAAACTTTTATCTAAAGCGCTTTCGCCCCATGCGGTCTCATCAGTAGATTTGAAATTGTAAACAAGTTACATTATGACGTCATTCTCGTGACGTTATGTAGGCAACGTTAAACATAAGGATTGTGACGTAAAAATTATCACAGTTGATTGAGGCGCACAGATAGAGTTTT